AGGTACAAGCCATTAGCCATGTACCTCAACAGTTTCATTCCCATTATTTAGTGTTGCAAGAGCATCTCTTATTGGGGTGTCTTAATATTGGCCCAATATTAACCAAAATGAAGACCCATAAAGTTTTTCTTCATATAGTCTTGATCCAAGTGTTTTACTTAAAGAAAAAAAAGAAGTCTGTAGAAAAAAACATTTTGGAAGTAATGTACTCAAATCTATCTGGGAAAGGGTGAGAGAAAGCAAAGGAAAGAGAAGGAAAAGAAAAGGATTGGGGAGGAGATAGAAGAGTACTGAGGGAAAGGGAAGATGACAGTTTCCATGGGACACTCTAGACTAATTAAATAGAGACTTTATCTGCTCTCTACAATTATAAGAAACACTGGCATTTCACACTAGAAAAGAAAAAAAGAATAACATTTCAACTCTGTCAAAATCATTGGTAAAAATTAATTTAATTTTAATTCTCTAAACACATGGAGATATGTGTATTTTACTATAGACATATATTTCTCCTCAGCAGAAGTCATCATATCATTGACCACCCTCAAATACACTAGGAACCTTGATGTGGGATGTTCCTTTGTATGCTGTGAATATGTTTTATTACCATTGGTTAAAAAAGAAGCTGATTTGGCCAATAGTCAAGCAGAATAGAGACAGGCAGTATATATAAGCAGGCATACAGGGAGAAGAAAGGCAGAGTCTGGGAGATGCAAGCAGTCACTGGAGAAGCAAGATTTGAGGTAATAAGCCATGAGCTTTGTAGTGATACACAGATTAATAGTAATGGGCTAATTTAAGTTATAAGAACTTGTTAATAATAAGCCTGAGCTGATAGGCCAAACAGTTTGTAATTAATATGAAGTCTCAGAGTGATTATTTTATAAGTGGCTGTGGGACTTGGCAGAATGAAGAAGTTTCCATCTGTAGAACCTAAAGGACAGACTTTCCTCTATGAGCCATACATTCAGTGTAGACAGAGGCTCTGTCTCACCTGGTCCCACAACCGTTTAGTCCCAAATAAACACATGGAGACTTATATTAATTATAAACTGTTTGACTAATGGCTTAGGCTTCTTATTGGCTACATCTCTCTCAATTATTAACCCATACATATTAATTTATGTATTCCTACATAGCCTCATCTTACCGGAAAATACCCTGCGTCCTATCTTACCAGAAGCTACACAGCATCTCTCTGGCAGCTTACTTTCTCCATCCTCTCCCCAAAATTCTCCTTGTCTGGTAGCCCCACCTATACTTCCTGCCTGGCTACTGGCCAGTCAGTGTTTTATTTATCAACCAATAAGTAAAATATACAGAAGAACATCCCCCATCATTCAGCTGTTGTGTTTTTTGTCAATCTTTGACCACTTTTCAGAACTAGCATTTCCCAAAACCTATAGGAAAGTGCCTTTCAAAACCCCTGGGCAAACTCTATGTGTTTCCCTCAATTTGCTGATAATTTGAAAATGTTTAACAAACAGCACACGGCCATAACGTCTGACAATAATCCAGCTTTCAGGTATTCAAATATAGCTGAGTTGTCTAACTTGTTGAGACCCTAGATTTCATCCTTCGCACTAAAAATTCCCTCTAGCATGTAGGCAGGCATCCAGTGTTAATTCAGTATTGTGAGTTGAATGTGAAAAGAGACCCCCAGGGGCTCATGTATTTGAGCATTTCTCTAGCTGGAGGTGCTGTTTACTAAGGCTCTGGAGCCTTCAATAGCCTACCACCATTCCTGTTCATTATCTACTTCCTGGCTGCGGACACAATGTGACCAGCTGCCTCCAGCTCCTGCCACCAAGGATGGACTGTATCCCCTTACACTTAGAGCCGTAATAAACCCTTCCCATATGTAGTTGCTTCTTGTCTGGTATTTGGTTCAAGCACTGAGAAGAGTATCTAATACTATGCGAGGTAGAATCTACATCCTTCAGCTCAGACGCAAAGGGAGAGAGCTCTGGTTTTAGCCCATCAGGCAGAAAGTGACGAAACAAGTGCTGAGTGTGTGACTCTATCCACAGTTTACTAATGCTCAAAATCACATCCAGTGTCTCCACTCCCTGGTCCAGCATTGTCTAAAGCCAGAGCAGATACTGGTTTGGGGAATGAAAATAAGGAATCCCCGTCAGTACTCATGCGCATTTGTCTGCTCTCCCTTCCTAAACCATGTAAAGAGAACATTCAACCCAATGGACAATTAGGATGATTCGAGGATGGCATGTTTCTGAGCCAATGTGTATAAATTCTTTTAAAACAAATTTTATATGTCTGAGTTTTGTCTGCATGTATGACCTTTAAAAAAAAGTGTCCATAGAGGTCAGATTAAAATATCAGATCACCTGGAACTGGCATTAGAAAAGATACTGGGAACTGATCTTGGGCCCTCTACAGGAGCAATTGGTGCTCTTAACTGCTGAGCTACCTTGCCGTCTTGTAAATATATTTTCATTGAAGTTGGAGCTGAGAAATCCTTGGAATAGTTCAAACTCCTACCTTTTCCTCTGAAGAGTAGTGCATGTGGCTGTGAGCCTCAATTTTCTTTTTAACCATCCAGAAAAATATGGAAACTCCAAACCTGCTGGAATTCTCAACATTGTTTACATGGGAGCAAGTGGATAAATGTCTTAGTTAATAACACTAAGGAACTATACACACCCCCCCAAAACAGATTTGAAAATACACAACAGAATGTTTTTCTCAAGAAAAAGACCACTATGTAATCTACTGTATTGTTTTCGTAACTGTTTACTTTCATTTGCAAGAGGCACAAAGCTGAATTTATTCTGTTGAGTGACTTTCTCATTTCAGACTCTCGGCACTATTTTCTCCTTTTCCCTTTCATTGCTTATATATACTCCTGTTTAACCCTGTCTTTATATTAGCAACTTAAAAAAACTGCATGGGGTTTACGTGGCTAAAATTATGCTCTCTTGGAAACGTGTGTGGTAGACACTGTAAACACACCCACACAAACACAGTAGGTACCTGCAGTTGCTAGGCAACTGGCTGGGGTCCTCACAGAAGTCAGTGCTTCCCCATCTATAAGATTCATTCTAAATGATTAGTTTAGAGTCCAGTGGCTTCACAACCTATGGCAAAGCTTCTGCAAGCCACCAAGCTTACCTGGCCTCTTCTCTCACACATCAGGACCAAGCCAGGGTTCGGCAACCTGCTCTTGGTGTCCTCTTTGTCCTTGGTGGACAAGAACCCGTGATCAGTGCTTCATTATACATTGTTGGCATCGAAGAAATTCCCAAGCACAGGGAGGATGCACCAAACCCAAGGCAAGCAAATTCCCTCTTTCAGCTGTCAGAGTTTTGAAGAAGCCCTTGCTTAGGTCAAGTAGTAGTAGGAAATGGTGGTAGCACAGACGCCTTAGAGGTCTGAGCAAGAATGACTTCCACAGGTTCCTAGATTTGAAAGCTTAGTCATCAGGGTTGCACTGCTTGAGAAAGATTAGGAGCTGTGACCTTGTCCTAGCACGTGTGTCCTTGTTGGTATAGGTGTGGCCTTGTGGGAGGAGACGTGTCACTGGGGACAGGCTTTAAGGTTTCAAAAAGTTCATTCCAGACCTAGCCTCTTCCTCCCTCCCTCCCTATCTCTCTCTCTGTCTCTCTCCCTCCCCCCCTCTTTTCATCCCTCTATGCTTATGGATTAGGGGTGCAACTCTCAGGTACTTCTCCAGCACTTAGCCTATCTGCTGCCAGAGTCCATGCATGACGATGCTGACTCACCCTCTGAAACTGTAGGGAAGGCCCCAGTTAGATGCCGTCTTTTATGAGAGTTGTGTTGGTCATGTTTTCTAAGACCGACACCCAGGTGGCTAAGAAATAGATTCTTTTTTAAAGGGTACAAGGTATGACAGGTAAGTCAGGAATTCAGTGAAGTCCCATAAATAGAAAAACATGCACTGGGTGTGTCATTCTGGCAAGAGACTGGCAATCTGGATAGTTAACCAGAGATCCAGTCTGTAAGATATGTGCAGATATCATGAGGAAAATTGGATCAGCCACAAATGGTAGGTGTGTTGGTGCATGCTGGTGACCCCAATGCTTGAGAGGTGGACACAAAGATCTGGAGTTTAAGGTTATCTCTGGCTACATTGTCAGTCCAAAGCTAGCTTGGGTGGACTCCATGGGATCCTGCCTCAACTACCTACCTCAACCACCAGTAAAAACTGAATTACAGGTCAATTTAAGTATTCCTCTCATTTAGCAAAGGATGGGTAGAAATGAAAAACTGTTTTCAATTATTAACTATATAGAATATTGAATGCTTCATTCAGTATGCTAGTCTCCATGATTATACATATGTATATAATATATTAGACACATAAACATAAGAATGCCAAAAAGAAAAATTCCTTTCTATATGTTCTCTGATCCCACTTGGTAAATGCGGAGTCATCATTTAAGCAGTCTTTATTTGAAAACCTTGCCATTATTACCCAGCACTGAGGTAACTATCCATCTCATTCATGGATCCCATGGTGTTCAGGAGAGCTTGGTGAAGATGCTGCTGCTTGCCTTAAGAACAGAAAGCAGGCATTGGTGGTGCACACCTCTAATCCCAGCACTCCAAAGGCAGAGGCAGATGGATCTCTGAGTTCAAGGCCAGCCTGGTCTACATAGTGAGTTCCAGGACAGCCAGTGCTACACCAAGAAACACTGTCTCTCTCAACAAACAAACAAGACTAGAAGATGACGAAGAGATGTCCAGGTTAGAGGACCAGGGAGACAAATGGGACAATTTGGGTACACAGAGAAGAAGGGTTAAAGAGAGAACAGTGCAGTTAAATTTTAGAGGCTGGAGCAACATAGGGATGCGTGTGAAATATTAACTGAAATGGCCAGGTGAGCAATGCCTTACATTGACTTATATTAAGTGAAGACCTTTTAAAAACACTTACAAATTGAACATCTGCTGTGTGCTAGGCTCTGTTCTAGGAACTGGATAGAGAGTAGGACGCACAACATAAAATCCAGGAAATAGAAAAGGGTTTCTATCATGAGTAGCACACATAGGGCAACTCAATTGCTCTGTGTGCAGAATCAAGAGATTTCGGAAGCCTAATCTTCTGGTTCTTGGGCAGCTGGCGATTGTTGGTACCCCAAAGCAAACAAACAAACAAGCAAGCAAGCAAACAAAAATCCAGTAACTGAATACTTAAATACTACAGCTTTCTCCCTATAAACTAATAATTACACAGCTGACTGAACGCTTCATTCCATGTGCCAGTCTCCCTGCTTGCAGAATTTCACTCACTCCCCACAACTGCATACAGTCACTTCTGAAGAGCGGAGGCTCAAAGAGCCTGAGTCACTTCACCAAGATCCCATGACTGGATACACTCAGAGGCTGGCAGCTGCCAGCTGCCTGAGACTGGAGCCACACAGCCTAGGTTGGCATTCCTATGCCCAGCTACGTAACCTTGGGCAACCACCAAGCCTGAGCACTCTGTGCTTGGTTTTCTAACCGGCAAAGTAGAAATCATAACTGCCCCCTTCCTGCTGAATTGTCATGAACAGTAACAGAGCAGTCACTTAGAGCAGTCATGACACGTAAGAAGTGCTTAATGAATCATTAGCTGCTGTTCTTAACCTGGCAGCAAACAGATTTATTTAGCCTGCTCCTGTCCAACCTTCAAAAGGTCATAGTGCTTTATGTGAGCTGAGCAAGGGAGGGTCTGTTTTGTTTACCCTGCTTAATTCGACAGCATCTTACTTCTCTCTCAGCCAGCTCTCTCACAAGCACCTGCTAATAGCCTTCATTGTTTACAGTGCTTCCAACAAGTGTGGGTAACTTCTCATTTGCATGCTTAATAGACAATTTCCAAAACATGTGGAAACTACAGTTGGTTTTAGGAAGCCTGAATTCCATTTCCTTTTCTGTCCTGTTTACCAACAGTGAAGGGGCTCTAACAGCTAGCCACAGTCTAATCCAATCTTGTTTAACACTTTCACAGAAATTTCATGGTACAAAAGGTCAGTAAGCCCAGGCTCACAGAGCAGCAAAGTAAAGTGGAGGGCATGATGTCATCATCAGGTCACACAGTGCCGTTATGTTGCACACTCTGTGTGGCTCCAAAGCTCTCTGGGCACTCACTCATTCCCTGTAATAATCCTATGCGAAGAGACTATGATGCCTGTGTTACAGAGGAGAAAACTGAGGTACAGAGTTAAGCAATGCTAAGTCACATGCCAAAGGTCACCCAGCAAGAAGGCCACGAGCTATCATAGCATTGCTATGGCCTTTAATATGTTACTTAACAGGACAGTAAAGTAGACAGTGTTTTGTACCGTCCACAACCATCTTTATACTGAGACAGGTCTTATCAGCATTTTACAGATGACAAAGGACAGGAGTCCTGGGACAAGAATCTATTGAATCCAAGGTGCCCTGCAGTGCACACTGGGTAGAAGGTGTTGATGGTTTCTGATGTCAAAATCCATTACTCCCATGGCTGCCACTGTGACTGTTGTTATTTTCTGCAGAACACCCTCCCACAAAGTGCATAGACAGGAAAATAACAATGATAAGAACACAGCTGATTCCGTATGCAAGCCTGCAGATCTGAGCCCATGCATAATTTACTCAACATTGCCCTGCAGTCACTTAAGCTGAGGAGAGACTGCCATAAACTTACGTCTGCATACACTAATTTATTTCTTATTTATTTTATCGATACATATCTAAGACCTCCAGTGAAGGCACCAGCAGCCCCCAGTTAGAAAGGGGCAGGATCAGGAGACCCTGAACTAAGTACTTAACTCTGGACTAGACCAATGAAAGAAAGTTAAATTAATTTTCTGGTAAACTGGCATTAAAGCCATGTCTGCGCCCACCTTTTGTGTGTGTGTGTGTGTGTGTGTGTGTGTGTGTGTGTGTGTGTGTGTGTGTGTGTGTACAGGACTGTAAATGTTGCTAAGTCTCTCTTTCTCTGCTTTGCTTTGGTAATGAGAAAGTCTTGTATACCTCTGCTAGGGATCACAGACTCTTTTTGGGTGACAGAAAGCCAAAGATGAGCAAATCAGAGGAGCAGTGAGTAGGAGGAGAAAAACAAAAACTGTTGCTATTTTTCTGGAGAGGTTACTGAGACCCAAACACCATTCTAGGCACTGAGGCAGCACGAGTGTCATGTAAACGGAACCCTTGGAAGAATTGTCATCTGCCCCTCTGTGTGGCAATACGCCTGACAGTTTGGTAAGCTGCAGCCCAGAGAGAGAGAGCAGAGGCCATGGCGAACATACTCAGTCGGTCTGAATGAGTTCTCTTCTTCATCTCTCATACTGATTCCTAAATTCACTTTGTTCAGCTAGGGATGCAGCTTAGTGATAGAGCACTTGCCTGGCATAGGAAAGGCCCTGGGTTCAATCCCAAGCCTTCCCCAACCAATACAAAAAGGAAAGATAAAAATAGCCAAAGCACCTGGGCTTGAATTCTTCAGAGAGCCAGAGGCTGTCTAGAAACTCCTCCTATGTGATTTGCTTTATGCGTGCTGCTCCCCAGTGAGTTGTCCTGACCTAGATGGACATCAGACCCAGAGAGGCAAAGCAGTAAACACTAACTGCTGAGGTCCCATAGTTTGCAACCTGGTAGAGCCAATGTGAGTGTTTGTACACACACATTCAACATCCATGAATCTGTCTCAACGTACACTGGTGGAGCTTCAAGCACGACAGAGAAAGATCAGGGCCGTGGACCAGAATGAGACAACATCTATAACTTAGGAAGAGGCTTAGACATGAGTGTATGTGCCCCTCAGCCATTGTTTTCTCACCCATTCTTCTTTTGCACACCCAACAGGACATGAATCAAAAGAAGAAAAAGGCCAGGTAGTATTTCCTGAGCGTTTGTCCACAGATTCCCTTTAGCTACGTGGGATTCCTGGACCTGAGAGGCGGAGACTTACCCGCAGAACATGAAGATGGTGCTGGAGGTGGCATCATAGGGCAAAGGCAGTGTCTGTTGTAGGCAAAGCTGCTCACACCCTCCGTTAAAGCCATCAGAGCAGTCAATGCCCTTGGAGTGATCATAGCAGCCTGAGCCATCCTTCATGGGCCTCAGTTCCTCAGGACACTGTTTGGAGAGAACACAGCAGGCTGGTTATGGTGCAGGGGGTGGCAGGTTCCATTTCTCTCCTCACACACAGATGGTGACCAGAGTCTTATTAGACCCATTATGAACAGTGTGGCCTTGGATAACATTCTTTACTTCTATAACCTCAATATACCTTGCAGTAAATAGGGATTTTGTAGTCATCTTCCTCACTGAATTCTGAGACTGAAGGGACATAATGTTGTCAAAATGCTTGGGACCAGACTTCACAGAAACATGTTATAAATGTCATTAATGCCAACAGTGCTAGGTAGGATCATCTTTATTGTTTTTATAATTGTTGCTTGAAAGAGGTCTCCCACTATAAGAGTCACCTAGAAAGGCTTCTAGGTATATTTTAAAAAGTCCCAAACCAAAACCTAATAATATGAATTTAAATTCCAGCTCCTCTCATTGTGTGACCTTAGGCAATTACTACCCTCTCTGAGTTTCAGCATGGTTGTGTATGAAATAGATGTATTGTAAACTGTAGATTAGCAGCGAAGCTCAAATATGAAGCATAAGCAAGAATGCATATCTTTCAGATTCTGTCATGCAATTGGTACTCAAGAAATGTGTGTTGCCATTCTATGTTGACTTGATTTCTTTCCCACCCTTGTCCCTGGATCCCTAAGTGAGCAACTTGTCTACTCACAGCAGTGTGGGGAGACTCCTAAGCAGTCTGGCTTCTCTACATTGTCTTCTATATGGCCACTGAAATGATATTCCTGAACAGCATTATACCTCAGCATCCATAAGTAAATGAGTCTGCAAATGCTCGGATTTCCCTTAAGCTAACAATAGAAGTCTTCTACAGACTGTGTGCAAACCCTCTGTCAGCTATCTACACATCCTTGTATGGAACTCTAGGTCCTATGCAACCCCCCACAAGAGATTCCCACCTTCTAGGATCTCAGCCGTGACACAATTTTCCTTGTGTCTTGTCACCTTGAATCTGTGTGAATGTGAAAGCTAGTGTTGAAGTTCACTTGTCTGTTAATTGCCATCATTCAGTGGGCTAAGTTTATCTCAAGATCCACTGATGGAGAAGCAGTCTTAACATCCTTGCCTTCTGAACAAGGTACCAGGTTTTAATTTCAGGCACTTTGCTGTCATTTCCACTAAGATAACAGCGAGAGCTCAGCCCTCTTTGTCTGTCAATAGACATCACTGATTAAAATGCCCCCTTCTTGCCTCCCCGTCAGCTCCACAGTCTCCTCCCCACGATCCTAAAATTATAGGAACAACAACACACACATCCACATTAATTTCCACAAACCACTGCAATAAAAAGGAGGTCATCTCTCTTGGAAATTAAATTTTGCCCGAGTATGATTTGTAATTACAAATGCACAAGAGAGTTCTTCCAGACATTTGAGACTGGTGCCAGCAAGGGTGATGGAGAAACTAGGTTATAAATGGCCTTTGTCAAGCTGCAGAAAGGCTATAAAACTGCTACATTTTGTGCTTAAAGAGAAAAATCAATTTTGCATGTGAGTGAAGTGTTGTACATATTAATACAAGCTCAGGAGAGGCCTTGCCTGATTCTGAACATCAACTATCAGGCAGAAGGGCACTGATCATGTGGTTAATTAGAACCAGTTAGTGGGGGCTGGGTTTTGTCAACCTGGAAATATTCAGAAACAAGTGTTGGACTTTCTTACCAAATAACAGGAAATATCTTGTATAAGGTATTTGTCAAAGTTCCTTCAATTCCTTCATGGCTCCCAGTGCTTTTGTTCTTTCAATGGAAAGTCCAGATTGTTTGTGTGTGTGTGTGTGTGTGTGTGTGTGTGTGTGTGTGTGTGTGTGTATGTGTGTGTGTGTGTGTGTGTGTCTCCCCTACCAAGTTAACCATTCTTGCTTCTTTAGTCCTTATAACAAACACACAAGTGGATTGACAATGACTCCTGAAGATATGTGTCTACCACAAGCCCCAGAAACTGTGAATGCTACCAACCATGGAAAAAAATTTGCAGGTGAGATTAAAAAGAATCTCTTGAGACTATTTTGAACTTTACAGGGTAATCTAAATGTCAACACAGATGTCCTTAAAAGAGAGATTCATGAAGAAATTATGGTCCCAGTAGTAGTCAATGCAAAGATTTGTAACTGATCAAAGGGCTGAGAGTAAGTGAATATTGCATGTTTGGCCCTAAGTGGGGGGCTCTATCACCTCCCCATCCCCAAGGATCAAGGAGTATCACATTAGAGGTGATAGAAAGAATATAGGTGGAGGATGGGAAGGAGAGCTGTGAGGTGCAGACTTTTAGATATGACACGGACGTATGAAGTCACCATAGCTGTGATTATCCGCATACAGCATGGCTTAAGATCAGTCGGCATCTCAGTACTGATGGACAAGGAGCTCCTGAGGCTGCACTGCTAACTGAGAAGCTATTGGTAACTGATGGATGTTTGGAAAGGAGGATTCATCTTTCTTCAGGGGTGTGGCTGCTAGTCGTCTACCCATTATATGCAGGAAACACTAATTGCTCCCAGCAGGTTCTTTTTAAAAAGCAGAAGAAGCCACGAGGTGGTAGGGAGTCATGTTGGGAGGTTCTGAGAAGTGGGAAGACAATAGTGGTTGTATCTGACCAAGATACATTGAATAAATGTATGAAATTGTGAAAAAATATACACAGAGGAGTAGTCAATGTGCCAGCGAAGACAGCGTTGGGGGTACAATGTAGCCACGAATGAGCACTGATGCAGCCCCCAGGAGCTGGGAGAAGGAAGGAATAGATTCTCCTCCTCCAGTGCCTCCAGGGGGAGCAGCACCTCCCAGTCAGCACTGTGAGCCCATATGTCTGGCATACAGAACAGTTAGAGAAGGCATTGATGTTGTTTTCAGTCGCCCAGGGTGTGAGTCCCTGCAGTAGCCGGAGGAACAGAGATGGACAGTGTCGCTGTTTCCATGCGCAGATGAGGAGAGTGAATCAGTTACAAAATAAGGGTAGGGAAAGGCAGGGCTTCCTAAGTTTGTCAACTCTGTGGCTCTTAGCTGAATTTTGTGTGTGGTGGTTAATCTTGATGTAAACCCAAATAGATTGAAATATGCATAAGAGACTAGCAAAGGCCTCGGTGTCTATGAGGATATTTCTGTTTTTCTTTTTCCTTTTTTATTTTATTTTTAACTTTTTTAAAAGCAATCTTTTTTTTTACTTTACATACCAGTCCCAGTCCCCCCTCCCTCCTCTCCTTGTTCCCCCACATGGCCACCCATCCACTCCTCAGAGAGGGCAAGGCCTCCTATAAGGGAGTCAGCAAAGTTGTCATATCACATTGAGGCAGGACAGAGGTCCTCCTCCCTGTATCTAGGCTAATCAAGATATCCCTCCACAGAGAATGGGCTGCAAAAAGTCAGTTCATGCACTAGGGATACATCCTGGTCCCATTGCCAGTGACCCTATAAATAGTCACCCACATTCAGAGGGTCTAGTTTGTCTTAAGCAGACTCTCCAGCTGTCAGTCTGGAGTTAGTGAGCTCCCGCTAGCTCATTTAAGCTGTCTCTCTGTTTCCCCATCATGATCTTGACCCCTTTGCTCATATTATCACTTCCCCCTGTCTCCGGTCTTCCCTGTAATCAAATTGATGACTACCTTTCATTGTCATCATAGTCATCCAGTAACTGATGGAAGCAGATGCAGAGATCCACAACTAAGCCAGGGGCCGAGCTCCCAGAGTCCAGTCAAAGAGAGGGTATTTCTAAAAAAGGATTTGATCATGATGGCACTGATCAAATCATTGGTGTAATCCACTGATGCATTCGAAATGTAGATGTTGTAGGGAAGCTGTGGAAGACAGGACTTAATCATAGAAAAGATTTCTTTTCTCCTTGGAAGGTTGTGTCTTGGTCCGGCCCCTTTCTTCACTCTTCCTGCTTCCTGGCTGATGTGTGGTGAGCTGCTTTTCTCTGCTATGCCCTTCTGGCATAATGTTCTGCAGGACCACAGCCCAGAATCAATAGAGCCATCTGGTCACAGATGAACCCTCTCATGTCATGACCCACAATAAGCATTTTCTCTTTTGAGTTGTTTCTTGGGGGTATTTGTCACAATAGGGAAAAGCTGAGAGAAACACTGGGTAGAGTAAGATTGATCCTCAGCTGTTCTAAGCAATTTACTCTACCACTGAGGTTCCAAGGATGGAAGCACATCCCACACAGACCATCGGCTAAGGCCTCAGGTCTCCCTAGCTCTCAGCCCACACACTCCATTTTGGTCATATAAGAAGTCTGCTGCACCTCTCACCTGTAAATGGAAGCAACAAGGTCTCTTTTGATGGCATTTTTGTAAACTGAGAAAACACACCAGGTTTTCTGTGTCTGGCTATGGATCTGACATATAATAAGCACTCAGCAAGTAAAAAAGATGTGGATATTGATGAGTTATAACATGATAAATAGATGTGCCCTCTAGCCTCATAGAAAACTGAACTAAAACTTTACACACACACACACATGTGAGCGTGTATTTTTTTAAATACAATCTTATTTATGCTTAGAATTTAAAAAGAAGCATTTGGTCAGTAAATAAAGGTGTAATTTATAATTAAGAGCATTTCAGTCTTCTGTTCACTTTCTTACTGATTTTTCTAGTTTCTTTTCTCCTCTTAGTGGCTGGGATATCCAGCACTATGTTGAATAACAGACATTACTCTTGATGATGCCTCAGAGAAAACAGGTTGCCACAGTGGCCTGTTTTTTATCATGCCAATGGTTGTTTTTCAACATTGCAAATCTCTTCAGAAAGCATGTTTTCCTGAAACCAAACTTTTCCTGGGCTTTTCTGAACAAACTAAAGTTTTTTTTAAAGTCTTTCTGCTGAACTGTCTGTTCTTTATACTCACTGTAAACCTGGGCAAAATGAGAAAGCAAAATCCACCACACAGCTTCGGACTTTCTCGGCATTTACTCTGCCAAATTAGCTAGCCTGTCACTACCATAAAAATCTCAGGACACAGACAAAACGAAACACAT